ACTTGCGAGTGATAGAAAACAGACCACAGTGTCTTAAATAAGATAAAGTATTTGCTTGACCTTTGTATGCTTTTATGGCTGATCGGAGCTGTAAAGATATGTGTATTTGAAAATCATTAAAAGCTGCTCTGAGAACTTACTTATTCAAAACCAGAAAACATTTAGAATTGTTTTCTATAAATTACTTTATTTTCATCTCGCTGATGTATATCTGCAATAGCTTTCTGTAGTCACTATGATACATTTAAGTTACCTGCAACATAAAAAATATTCTTATGGTAATTAAAAAAAAAACCACAGCTGAGCAAAGGCAGGAGGATGGTGCAAGTTATCAAGGAACACCAGGTTGTTTCCAAGTATTGTTATTGTTGTTTTAAACCATAGTGTTATACTTCTGAGTTTGAGCCGTTTTCTTCCACATTGAGTCACATACAGAACTACGTGCAGCAGCATCTGTACTGTGACTCGTTCTCCAAAATGAGGTCTTTCAAAGCCAGCCAACTCTAGGCAAATTCCAATAGCTAAGCATGGGGGAGAGAAGCGAGGGAGGGGGAGAGAGAGGCTTGTGTTAGATTGCCACCCAAAAGATGACCTTCCTCTTGAACAAAACATTTCCTTTTGTGTGCTTTCAAGTTTGTATTGATTCTTCACAGCCACCACATGTGATAATAATTTTTCATTTTTTTTTAGAAAGGCATGAAATATCTGTGATATTTCTCCTTCCCTATACTTTTTTTTATATCCTGATGGTCTTTGCTTTCTTCCTTGATATTACTGATGTATTGGTCCTGGCTTGTCATTGCTTACTTTTTTCTTCCTGTTTTCCCTACCAGTAGATCAGTTACCTCTTCTCATGGTATGTGCCCTGCTGGGCATTCATCTCTGAACCCTTATATTTCTGTACTTCTCTATAATGCTAAGCCAACTTTAAGTAAAGCTTTCAGAATTGTTTGACAAGTTCCACTCTGCTGCAGGCCTAGCAACAATTCTTACAAAGGGTAATTTCTAACTGAAACTTACAAAAATTATATTAACTTTAATTTAAATTTCACTTTAGAAAAACCACAGTGAGGCTGAAAAACAGATGAACATCTGCATCTAGCCAAACAAAGAACATAACAGTGGAAGGGATCTCTGGGTCATCAAGTCCAGTGCTCTGTTAGCCTGGGAATTGCATCAGATAATTCTCTTTTCATAAACTTTGCCAATACTAAATTGGAGTTGTTATTTCTTTGCCCCTAGTGTTTCCGCCAAAGGCTGTTCCAAAGTTTGATTTATTTTAATGGCTAGAGACTCTGAGTAATTTGCAATCTGCATTTTTTCAGCGACAGCTTATATCCATTTATTCTTTTGCCTGTGCTGGCCATTAACTTGAGGAGAGTTTTTTTTTTAAAAAAACCTATGTTTGAGTGTTCTATTTATACCAAATTAAAAAAATGAAAGATTCAAAATTACTTTTTAAATCAAGTTATGCTAATAGGAATTGAGATTTCCTTGAGTAAGCCGATGTTGGCTGAAGTTACAGTAGTAAGAAATACTACTACTTTTAAAAAGGACATGCTGAAAGCATTTGTCCAAGGCAATATTATTATTAGAATTTTTACATTATTTTTAGATATTTTTTTTTTCTGATGTAGATGGTGACATTCATACTAACTTGTAGGAATTATTTTATTTTAGTTTTGGGTACTTGTTTTTCTATTTTATTCTCAGTTGAGACATAAATGTCTTTCATGTGGAAACTTTATTCATACAGAATTTGGCATAGGATAGAAATTGGGGATGTAAAAATGTTTTATAAGCCTCCTGAATAGCAAATCTGAATGGCAAAATAAAATGTTATCTATCAAAGTTAGATTCTACTTATAATTTACAAGGGCACTATGTGTGATAAATTTATTATATTCGGATCTTTACATGGCTTTTCATCTTGTTAAAATCCCTTTGTTCATAAAAAGCAATGCATTTTAATTAACGACAGATAAATTGAGATTCATAAATTATTATGCAGATAACAGAATTAGGGCTAACTCTCACATAAATAACATCTGACACCCTGACTCAGAGGTGATATGAAATCCAAACAAAGTTTTAAGTCTTTGAATGGCACTTTTCTAAACATACTCCATCTGTGCATCTCTCCATAAAGTTTAGTGAGGGAACACCACATGAACTCTCCAATAACTGTGTCACGTTAAAAATGTTGTAATATTAGCAACGTTAAAGAGAAAGAAAAAAGACCACCGAGAGTTCAGTGGAAACAGAGCTTGTGTATTCTTGGTTCTTTGCTCAGAACATGTCTGTCTCAGAATTAAATGGCCTATGATAAACTGCATGTACTCATTTTTCTGTTCCCAGTTCTAGATCATGTCTCATCTGTTCTGATCTATCTTAATGAATCCCCAAAAGAGAAACAAAGCATGCATTTTTCCCTTCCAGCAAGGCATTTATGTGATTTAGGTCTCTGAGGCAGCATCTCACATGCACTTTTGTATTTGATGTGCAAGTGAATTTGAATCATCACTGAGTTCCTCTCTCTATATTAAGGCGTTCCTTAAGCAATAAGACAGCATACTGTATGCTCCCTTTTCTTCTTCTGGAGGCTGTGCCTCAGTAATTCTTCTGTTCATTTCAGAAATGTGGTATTGCTGCAATTCATTGCATATTTTTTCTTTAAATTAAATTATATAGGAAATGGAAATACTATGTTTAGCAAACCAGGAAAAGTAAGATATTACTATGTAGTTAGAACTGTGATAGCTGATTTTAGCTGAGAATTTGATTTATGATCTTTCAGTATATAATCTTTTGTATGGAACTCACTCGTTAGTTACAAAGTATCGTGCACATACATTAATTTAAAATTTCTTCCTTTATGTACATAAACTATGGAAAGAGACTGTTAAGGTTGAGAAGTCATACACTGACAGTTTATTACTTTATCAGTGTCAGCATTGCAGTTGTATCACATGCTTAAGTTTAGTATCCAGTATCAGAGGTCTCTCTCATAGACTAGGAAGAATGATTTTTGAGTAATATTCAATTTAATACAGACAGAGATTTCAGTACTTTAACTGTTTTACATGATGCTTCTGAACATACAGGGTTTATAAGGTGACCAGCTTTTTCCTGCACGCCTATTATGCCCTGCACAAGGGCACAGAGCACAAGTTATTTTATGAACTAGTTAATGGAATCTTTAACGCTTATAAACAACATAATCTCACTGTGAAAACAACTAAATGACTTTTCTATTTTTTTAATACTCAGCTTGATATATAAACACTCAACACAAACGTTGAGGTTAAAGAGACGTGGATAATGGAAATCACTATGTCTTCCAATTATAATTTTATAAGATATTTAAATATGAAAGTGAGCTTTTCTATTATATCATAATTATAGCACCAAAGCAGAAATTCCTAAAGGATATACCAAAGAAAAAAATAACAAATCCATAAAATAAATTGGTTTTTTTTCCTCTTTATTTCATTTCTTTTCAGTATCTCTATTAAGTCAAGATGTCACATTGTATTACACTATATGACATTATAGTCATATTGTTCTGTCTATTTTGTATGTGTTCCTGGTACACAGTCACTGTAAGAGAAATCACAGAATGATAAACAGACACTAGGATGTGTTGTTACAGATAGGAACCTAAGCTATCAGTAGATGTTAAGAGGTAATAAAACAGTTCAACCAGAATTTCAGCCAACTGCAGATATTTGGTATTTCTTCTATACTTTCTGTAATCATCTGCTACTGGCAATTTTTGCCAACAGGATGTCAGGCTACATTAAATTTGGATCTGAGTGGATATGACTATCCTTATGCTCTTAGTGTATGTGGATTGTTACACAATTGTGAGTGTTACATTCAGCCATGTCTGTGAATGTGATCTTTTTAGTTTGTTGTTGTTTTGTTGTTTTGGTTGTGGTTTTTTTTTTTTAAATCTTCTTTTTTCTCTTCTCTTTCATTTTGAAATTCTGCATAATTGCAATGTCTTTAATAAGACTAGCCAGGAACAACATTTGGTGTACTGGAAAGTAATCCAATGATCTCATTTTTCTATAAATGCAGGAAGAGCTTTGCTTCTGAGTAATTGATGGTATTCAAATCAACAACAAAACAGTAGTATACTCTAAAGACTAGCTTTATAAGAATGGTAACCTGAGTTAAGCAAAACTCATCAAAGCTAAAGAGTGTCTTTTCTAGTATACGATTTTTGACTGCCTTTAAGACATGAACTGAATTAAAATGGTTTAGTTTTGTTGCTGCTCTACTGTGAACCCAAGTGTAGCTGACCTTCAAGTCTTCATGCTAATTCTTATTAGCTGATTCATTGGAAGGAGATAAATCTCTATATCTGTAGAAAAATGGTAATAGATGTAAACCTACTATATTGCATTATATTTATAGGCCATTTCATACATAAAGGCAAAAATTCTGTCCTCATTGAAGTGAATAGTAGGATTTCAAGAAACTCAGTAAAGCCAGGGTTTTATCACTAAGGTAGTTCCTTCAGTGAGGCAGGAGAGGTATAGTAAGCTAAA